ACTGAGACCAGAAACTCATCAGGAAACTGTTTACTGATTTATAAATCAACTGAGAAGTCGGCTCATTTCTCCATAAGACTCAATACTATCAGACTTCTTTTATTGCAGCCAGAGGAGCTGCCCTCTGCTCGCTGTTAGAGAGAAGTGCTGCCAACTTGAGATGTAAAAAAACATTTGTTTGACCCCAAAAATGAGATACTGGGAGACACAGGGAGATATTGGGAGACACTGGGAGATATTGGGAGATATTGGGAGACACTGGGAGATATTGGGAGATACTGGAAGCAGGTGTAAGACTGAAAGTAGATTCTGATTAGATCGGACTGAATGACTCTGAGAGGGCGGGTTTAACTTTTGATGCAAATTGGGTTCAACTGTTAAAGTTTCAGTTTACATTCACTGTCAGCAGGAAACATGAACGGCCTGTTGGGTTTTGGGGGCTAAATTACAGTTCCACCATCTGGCCCATTGGGCTCATGTTTCTTGGGAAGCTCATACACATAATTTCTAGTTTGCGGCGGAGCTTGTGATGGACCGTGTTAATTAGATTTATTTAATATAATTTAAGCAGTATGGAGATCGCAGTCAGATCAGAACTGATAGAAAGTCTATCTGTGCTTCTTTAATTTGTTCCACTTTTACAACCGGATCCTGTTCTCTGAATAATAACTAACCGTTTGTTTCCTTTCTCCTCAGCAGCCAAGGTGCATGATGGGATCTTTCCGGCGTCCCAGGCCTCGGTTTATGAGCTCTCCGGTTCTGTCGGACCTCGCCCGGTTCCACGCCAGCTCACCTTCGCTACAGATCTCCAACACCAGAGTGTGGAACAGGTCAGCTGCATACTGCTCCCCAGTGTTTGTGACCTCTGAACCCACAGAACAAACTTTAGATAGACTCTATAATCCCACAGCACGCAGAACAGATAGTATGTCCATGTGTTTAGGACACAGCCTGTTATGTTATGGGTCCAAACATCAGATTAAAAGTGAGGGGAAAGTGCTGGCTCGTGTTTTCCAGACCTCAGAGAGAGGAACAGGTTCTGGTGAAGGTCAACAGTGTTTCTGAGCCGACTGTTTTCTGTTCGGTCGGTGTGGTGAGTTTGTGAGATTGAAGGTTGAGACTTCATAATGATTCAGAGGAACTGTTAACACAGGAAGAATCTGGAATTCATTAATCCATTTTCTGCCTCTTACGCATCGGGGTAAACAAGGTAGTTCAGTTCCTCCTCGGGGATCCTGACTGCCTCCCAAGCCAGATGAGATATTATGAGCTTGGAAGGCACACGAGAATCCATCTTTTTAGGCTTCAATCTGTTCATCAGTGGCTGGTATCAGACCAATCAGCATCCTGTGAGGAAGTACTAGCAAGAATTTCAAGAGAAGCAAAGAAGGACACTGAAGGGTTTTCTTGATGGAAGAGATGTTTTCTCTCTTCTACCGACTGACTTTAGTGAGAGTTTGACTGCCTTATTCGGTTCATTGATCTCAGAATCCAAAGATTGGTTGAAGTTCGCCTTCGTTAGACGCTGATAGACAGACGGTTCATCCAACCACCTGTAGAGTATTTTTTTGTGTGTCGCTCTTCCAGACAGTTTCCAACGACAAGTTCTTCCTAAGGTCACATGAGACAGGCTTTAAGACGTGTTCATGGCTGCGTTTTTGGACGTAAGGGTCACGTCGCTTCCGAGCATTTGGCCAAGGCGAAAGGCTCCACCCTCCTACAACCACGCAAACACTTCCCGGCTGAACTTGAGTGGACAAATGTTTTCTGCTTCCTTTCCGAGAAATAATTTGGTGCAGTAGTTGTCTTCATTTTAATGGTTAGTTTAAAAGTTTTACAGGAGTTTTTAGAGGCGGGAGGTTGCCCCTGATTTGCATAAAGTAGCCGGCATATGAGGAGCTGCCAACAGGACAACCCGATCTCTCAGAGCACTACCAGAATGCATTGCATGAACAATGTATTCTTACACAAACAATAACTAGAAGCGTGGAAAGGACTGATCCTGTGAACTTAAGGCTCCTAATGTCTCGATTAGAGTCCAGATATTTGTGGTTCAGCTCAGTTTCTCCATGTGTTACGGTTGTTTCAGCTCCGCTCAGTCTTCGGCCTGTTTCCTGCAGGATGTTTAGTAGGAAGTGGAGGTGGCAGTCGGGCCACGTCCTGTCAACCAGCTGAGTCACACACGAGGACCACTGCACACTGACACACTTCACAGTAACTGCCAGTGGCGTCCACTTTCTTTTATTACGAGGAGGAGACGAGTGAAACTACCCAACAGTTTATACAAGTACAGCTGAAAGTAATCCATTAATCAATTAGCTGATCGACAGAAAATGTAACTAACTAGTTAACAATTAATTTAGATTAGCTAACTAACAATTTATGTATCTAAACTAAATAGTTATCTAGAGTTATTTAGAGAACTTAATATGTGACTATATAAACGTTGCTTTTATTTTTTAACAATCTACAAAATGCATAGCATATAGCATGTCTAAGTACAGGAAAGGAGGAAGTTGCTGTTGATGGACCACAAAGAAAAACTATTTTCAGAAACAAATGAATGAGACATAATAACCTAACAATATCATATATAATAGTACAGCAACGGTCACAGTTTGATACTCTAAAAACATTTTACTGATTATATACACATACTTTTACTGTGTGGGCTGAGCTCTTTTATAATACTTCATAACAACTAAATCAACTTTTTATAAAAGACGCCTCACAGACTTAAAATTATGTGCGACTGAACTAATGAATTATAATGTGTATACTGGAATTTATGTGCCTTTATTACCACAACTGTAGCTTATATAAAACATGTTGACCTCTGACTTTTGTGTGTCCTCAGTGTCCAATCAGCTGTGATCAAGGTGTTCCAGGGTGGAGTGCTGCAGTCCAACGAGCTGTACACGCTTAACGAGAGCATCAGGTAAAGTATCTGTAGCATTCAGATACATACACGTAGTAAAAAGTACAGTATTTACCTCTGAAATAGTAATGTGGCGGTGGTGTCGGGGCTGTTTGACACGTCACGTATAAGTTATTTAACTTAAATGTGCCTTCAGATGCACTTCAGTAGATAGAAACATCTGTTAAATTGATCCCAGTATGTCAGAGAACAGATCTGTCCATAGGTGTCCCACAAGGATGTATCCTGGGCCCATTACTATTTACATTACAATTATTTTAAACATTATTAATATAAATAAATAAAAAAACAAAAGAAGTTGATTACATACATTATAATGTCCATATATTTATATGTGAATGGATCTGTGCAGAAAGTCCTTACGTGTGTCTTACCCATTTTGCAAGCTAACGTTAGTCAACTAACACATCAACTCAGATAGTATTTTCATGGAGTAATGTTAGCTTTGACTTAGACTACGTGACAACCTGTTCACTAATTGGCAATAAAACATCACACTTAAAAAAAGACCAACCTACAAATAAATATTACTAAGATGGATGATTCAGTCATCATTATTAAATATCAGAAAGATCAATGATTCATCTGTAGAGCTCATATTGAAATACGGTTCGCTATCAAATTAAAAAGACAATTTACATGGAAGTAAATGTAAATAAAAAGATAAACTCTAAACTTTATCATTGTTTGATCATTTTACAGAAGGAAATGGTGTATGGATGTTTCTTTATCTGACCCCTGATTTCCCAGAATGCTCAGTAAACTGGGCCTCAGTGTGAAGGTGAGGAGAGGAAACTGAACTCCTCTGTGTCTTTACAGGTGGCTCCTTAAAACTGAGATGGGCTCCTTCATCACAGACTACTTCCAGGTAACTTTATTTCCTGTTTTTATGTAATAAAAACTGAATGTTTGTTTTCAACAATCAGAGGAAACATTAGCTGACGTTGATGCGGTCACCCCACTTCCTGTATCTGTGTTTGTTACAGTCTAATGATTACAGTCTGCTGATGCCAGAGGTTTTAGTTTATCTGATGAAGATATATTGGCTGATATTGATACCACAACGCTCATTATTTTAGCAGTTGAGTAATAAACTGTAGTATCAAGTTTGACAGTAAGAAATGATGGACAGTAAACCTAACTGGAGAGGAATTCTTATAAATAATTAAGGCTGCTAAATTAATCAAAATTTGATCATGATTACGATTTTGGGGCCAAACGATCTCAAAACTAATAAAATCGGGGGAAACAATTTTTTTTTTCATTTTCTGTTGTGCAACGTTGTGTCCCAATTCAGGGATGCAGCCCCTGAATTGGGACACAGCCACAGTCTGCGTATTTCCGTCGCTCCCCCACACCATGCACTACACACGAGTCATGGGCTCGGTATACTCGCCGTTCCCGA